TTGTATCCAGCCACATTACTGAATTTATTTATTGTATCTAAGAGTCTTTCAATGGAGCTTAGGGGGTCTTCTATGTAGAGTATCATGTCATCTGCAAACAATGATAACTTAACTTCTTCTTTTCCTATCTTTACCCCTTTTATTTCTCTTTCTTGCCTAATTGCTCTGGCTAGTACTTCCAGTACTATATTAAATAGGAGTGGTGATAAAGGACATCCTTGTCTTGTGCCTGATTTTAAAGTAAAGGCTTTCAATTTTTGGCCATTTAGAATGATGCTGGCTGTTGGTTTGTCATAAATGGCCTTTATTATATTGAGGTAAAGACCATCTATTCCAATTTTCTGTAGAGTTTTTATCATGAATAAATGTTGGACCTTATCGAAGGCTTTTTCTGCATCTATAGAAATGATCATGTGATTCTTACTTTTGGCTTTATTGATATGGTGGATTACATTTATTGATTTGCGTATGTTGAACCATCCTTGCATTCCTGGGATGAATCCCACTTGGTCATGGTGTATAATCTTCTTGATGATTTGCTGGATCCTATTTGCCAATATTTTATTGAGGATTTTTGCATCTGTGTTCATTAGGGAGATCGGTCTATAGTTCTCTTTTTTAGTTGGGTCTTTCTCAGGTTTTGGTACTAGAGCAATATTTGCTTCCAGGAACGACTTAGGAAGGATTGCTTCCCTTTCAATTTCATTGAACAGTTTGAGGAGTGTCGGCATTAGGTCTTCTTTGTATTTCTTGTAGAATTCTGCAGTGAATCCATCTGGGCCTGGGCTCTTCTTGGTGGGTAAGGACTTAATTACATTTTCAATTTCCGTAACAGAGATTGGGTTATTCAACAGTTTTACATCCTCTTGATCTAGCTTTGGCACTTCATATGCTTCTAAGAATCTGTCTATTTCTTCTGTGTTATCAAACTTTTGAGAGTAGAGGTTTTCGAAGTAGGTGTTGATGATCTTCTGTATTTCTATTGGGTCTGTAGTGATTTCTCCTTTTTCATTTCTTACTGCATGAATTTGAGCTTTTTCTTCCCTTTTTTTAATAAGGTTGGCTAGGGGCTTATCGATTTTATTTATTCTTTCAAAGAACCAACTCTTTGATTTGTTGATTCTTTGGATTGTTTTCTTAGTCTCTATTGCATTGATTTCTGCTCTGATTTTTATAATTTCCTCTCTTCTTTTGGCTTTGGGCTTGACTTGCTCTTCTTTTTCTAGCTGTTTGAGGTGTAGCATCAAGTTATTTATTTGTATTCGTTCTGTTTTCCTGATGTGGGAACTCAGTGCAATAAATTTTCCTCTCAGGACGGCTTTCATTGCATCCCACAGGTTCCGGTAAGTTGTATCTGTATTTTCATTTTCTTTTAGGTATTGTTTGATTTCTTCTTTAATTTCCTCTGTGACCCACTGATTACTCAAGAGTGTGTTATTCAGTTTCCATGTGTTTGTGGGATTTTTGCAGTATCTTTTATCATTAATTTCTAATTTCAGAGCGCTATGATCCGATAACATGCAAGGGATGATTTCAGCTCTTTTGCACTTGTTTAAATATGTTCTGTGAGCTAATATATGGTCTATTTTAGAAAATGATCCATGTACTGCTGAGAAGAATGTGTATTCTGATGTTGTTGGGTGGAACATCCTGTATATGTCTATCAAACCCATTTGTTCACAGGTATGATTCAGTTCTGTTATTTCTTTGCTCATTTTCTGTCTGGTTGATCTGTCCCTTGGTGTCAATGGCGTATTAAGGTCTCCTGTTACAATTGTGTTACTGATAATTTGAGTTTTCATTTCTGTTAATAATTGTTTTATATAACTTGGTGCTCTGGAGTTTGGTGCGTATATATTTAAGATAGTTATCTCTTCCTCTTGGAGTTTTCCCCTTACAAGTATGTAGTGACCTTCTTTGTCCTTTATGGTCATTGTTGGTTTAAAGTTCACGTTGTCTGCAAACAGAATGGCTACTCCTGCCTTTTTCTGGATTCCTGCTGCATGAAGAATTGTTTTCCATCCTTTGACTTTCAGTCTGTGAGTATCCTTCTGGGTTAGATGGGTTTCCTGTAAACAGCATATGGTTGGATTTTGTTTCTTGATCCATTCTGCTAGTCTGTTTCTTTTGATTGGTGCATTGAGACCATTTACATTAATGGTTATTACTGTTAAATGCTGGTTAATTGTAGGAATGTTATCTCTCTGCTGTTGCATCTTTATCTTTCTGTTCTGTTTAATTATTTGCTTTGCTTAGTGGTTTTTTCCTTTGTGTATCTAAACTGTCTTTCAATATCTTTTGCAGGGTCGGTTTGGTGTTCATGAAGTTCTTCAGCTGTTCTTTGTCATGGAAGTATCGTATTGCACCATCTATTTTGGATGATAGTTTTGCAGGATATATCAGTCTTGGTTGGAAATCATTTTGCTTTAGGATCTGGAATATTTCACTCCATGCTCTTCTTGACTTTATCGTTTGTGCTGAGAAGTCTGCTGTGATTCTGATAGGTTTTCCTTTATAAGTGATCTGTCTTTTCTCTCTGACAGCTTTTAGTAATCTATTCTTGTGTTGGATTTCTGGGATGGTGATTATTATATGTCTGGGTGTAGTTTTATTTTGGTTATGAGTGTTTGGAGTTCTATATGCTTCACTGATCTTGATGTCAGTTTCTGATCTCATGCTTGGGAAATTTTCAGCTATTACTTCTCTAAATATCCGCTTGACATCCTTTATGTTGTCTCCCTCTCTTTCATTAATCCCTATCATTCTTATGTTATTCTTCTTTGCATCGTCTTGCAGTTGTTGAATTGTTGTTTCCTGATTCCTTGTTATTTTCAAAAGATCTTTCCTTTCCTGTTCACTAGCTGCAATCATGTCTTCAAGGTCTGAAATTCTATCTTCACTTTCATTAAGGTGGTTTTTACAACTTTCAGTGGAGTTTTTTATTTCCTGTATATCTCTGTGCATCTGCATTATGTATTCTGTTTGTTTCTTATATTGCTCGTCTAGGGATTCTATTTTTTTGTTTAGTTCCTCCAATTTTTTATCTGTGTTTTCTTTAGATATATTTAGAATCTCTTTCATTTCTTTTATCATTTCTTCTTTTATCTGGGAGATTATTTCGAGTTTGAATTTCTTTAAAGCTTCCTGGAGTTGTTTGTCAACTTCAGTAGCTATTATGTCCGATATATGAGGTGGATGGGATATATTTTCTTCTATATACATTGCTCCTAGGGTTTCCTGAGATGGGCTGGAGGTTTGAGGTTGTAATTTGGTCTTTCGTTTTGTCATTTTGTATATTTCTGTGTTTCAAGTGTTATTTGAAAGCTTCCTCAGGATCTGTTGAAAATCCCCTTCTATGCTTGGAGCTACTGAGCCTCTGACACCGCACTACCCCAAGCCATTGGGCCTGCAGAACCAGTGTCCCTCCTCTGCCTGCTCAGAACTCCGCAGTTCTAGACAAGCTGGGCCTCAGGGACACTGTGCGCCCACCTGCCCCTTGAAAGATCCACAGGTCTTCAATTGCAGCCGGGTTAGGGTGCTCTCCACAGGCCACAGTGCCTCAGGAGCCTGTGATCCCTCCCTGCTTGCAGAGATATCCACAGTCCTCTAGGCAAAGGAAGGGACTTCTGCAGGCACTCCAGATCCGCCCAGCTCCTCCTCTGCAGGCAGATGGCTAGGCGTGGCTGGGCTCGGGGGTTAGTGTAGGCCCGCCCATCCGTCAGGAGCTCAGCAGACTTCCAAGTGTAGCGGGGGGGGGGGGGAAGGCAGCTGTAGTGGCCTCTAACCCACTGCTCCACTTCACTGCACCCAGAAGCCTGGGGGGTCTGGAACAGTCTGAGATTTGGGCAGACTGTGCTGGGCACTCACCACAGGCTGAGGTGCCTCAGGAAGCTGTGATGCCTCCCTGCTTGCAGAAGTATTCAGTCCTTCAGACAAAGGAACGGGCTTCTCTCATGCCACAGACATTTAACAAAAGTTGCAGGCATGGCTAAGGAGTTCTGTGAGTTTTTAATTGCCTAAGAAAGTAGACTTGAACTTGTAGGACTTTAAGAGAAAGCACTCAGATTCAGATTAAAAAGAAAGGAGAAAGAAATTTCAATCAGGGCTAGGAACAAAGTCCTGTGTTCTATATGTACGTCCCAAATGAGTTGTTCTGCAATTTACTCCTCAAATTTTAATGTGCCTAGTTTCTGTCTTGATTACTTTGATGTCATGATTAGATGTCTCATCAAGATATATGGCATCAGGTGTGTCAACTATCACTGCTCTTAACAACTAATACATAAATGTATCCAATTAGAGTCACTTTGGAGGTGAAATGGTGTATGGGGTGCTTTTGAAAAAAAAATTCTTCACCAAATATCTTCCACCTGAGAAAGAATGTACAAGATTGGCTGTATTTGGAAAAAAATTTTATACCCTCCTAGCTTTAGGTGGAGAAAATTAATTTTTGTAAAATGAGCAAAATTGGAAGATAAATAACTCTAGAGCTAGGCATCATTAATTTTGCTGTCAGTTCTTCTTAATGATATCCATTCTTCAAAAATCTTTTATTCTTGATTGTTCTATATCTCTCACTATAATGCATCCAATTTGATTTCATTAGTTGATATTGAAACTGAATTTTCAATCAAATATTTAGTCACTAAGTCTTTATGTTTGAATTTTGCAATAGCTTGTCCTATAAGTTTTGAAATCAATACCTAGAGGTTTATAGAAAATTATTCAATAGAATACAGAAACATGGATTTTTAAAATGACATTTATATGTTGACTAGCAATGTTGTTTGGGTCAATAATTTTGTGTAAATGACAAGAATATTAAAATTGAAAGAAGAGTTATTAGTTAAGTATTCATCATTCATGCAAAAAAAAAACAATAAAGAAATTCTGGAAAATGGGAAAATACACTTAAACTAATATTTGCTGACTTCAATAGCATTTTCTTTTATATCAGTCACATTATTTTTAAAGTGTGTATACATTTGTTTTAATATTCTCTACTCAGATGAATTACTATCTGAGATTATTCTTTGGCTCCAGAGTTTCTTGATAGCATTTTTCACCTCCGTGTTTCTGAGGGTGTAGATTAAAGGGTTCAACATGGGGGTCACCACAGTATAAAACACAGCCACTGCCTTATCAATGGGGAAGGTGACCATGGGCCGAAGGTACACGAATATACAGGGCACAAAGAACAAGATGACCACAGTGATGTGGGCAGCACAGGTGGACAGAGCCTTCCACTGTTCTGCGGTGCTGCGAGTCTTCAGAGAGCAGAGGATGAGGACATAGGAGGTGACAAGAACAGCAAAAATGAGCACACACATCAGCCCACTGTTGGCAGCAACAAAGAGTCCAAAGACCTGGGTGTCAGCACAGGAGAGTTTTAAGAGAGGGAAGAGGTCACAGATAAAATGGTCAATGACATTTGGGCCACAGAATGGCAACCAGACCATGAAAAGAATCTGGATGAGAGCATGAAGCAATCCCCCAGCCCAGGCCATGGACACCAGGAGGCCACACACACGCCTGCTCATTGTGATCATGTAATGCAGGGGCTTGCAGATGGCCACGTAGCGGTCATAAGCCATAACTGTGAGCAGGAGAATCTCCACTCCTCCAAAGAAATGTTCAGCAAAGAGCTGAGTCATGCACCCACTGAAGGAGATGGTTTTCTTTTCAGCCAGTAAGTCAAATATCATTTTGGGGGCCATGGTAGAAGAGCAGCAGCCATCAATGAAAGATAAGAAGGACAGAAAGAAGTACATGGGGGAGCCCAGGGCTGGGCTGCTGGTGATAGTCACAACAATGAGTAAGTTGCCTGCCAGGGTAAGGCAGTAGATGATGGCAAATATGACAGATAAGAGTTTCTGCATCTCTGTGTTCTGTGTGAGGCTGAGAAGGATGAATTCTGTCACATTATTCAGTGGTTCCATGAATTCAGTTTGGCAGACAGATAAGTAATTGAGCTGGGAATAACAAAGGCATTAAAATTGCGCCAGACAAGTTTTGAACAAACATAAATTCTATCAGCATTTTCTACAAGACTGATGACATTCCAAGAAGAAACTTGGCTTAAAAGTTTGGCCATATTGCTAGACATGTAATGAGCATAGCTCTCTCTCTCCATCTCTCGGTCTGTCCGTCTGTCAGTCTGTCTGTCTGTGTCTCTGTCTCCATCTCTCTCCTTTCTTTCTCTCATCCCAATTATAGTTTTATAACATTGACTCATCACAGATCTTTTCTGTAATGGTGTGTGGATAGATGTCTCCCAGAAATTACCAGCATGTATTTTCCTATAGAAAAACCAGGAATGAACAGAGGACCATTGGAGGTGCAGAGGTTCGAATTCATGATGGTATATACCCTGGTCTTGCCTCTCCAAGTCCTAGTCCTGATGAGCCTACAGTGCAGAGTTTGTTTTGCTTATCTTGTTTTAGAGTGAATTAAATGCATCATTTTAGCTTAATTTGAAGTTAGGGGTGATGTAGTCACATTTCCAGCATGAAGTTAACCAAATGTCTGAGGCTGCAGGAAGATGTATCCTGACAGTTAAAACTGTGAGCTCATGCTACATGTAAAGCACATAAGACTAAAAATGATCAAGTTTATACTCAGACACCTGTGGAAGAAGCGAGTCCTGGAGGGGGTGACATAGGCTGTGAAATGCAAGGCAGGACCCTCTAAATTTATTAGAAACATTTTCATTCGCTATTTGTGCAACTTCCACTGTTTCAAGTTTCAGAGGCATTTTGCAAACTAAAACCTAATTTAAAGAAGATGATGAATAATTCCCTGTATTTGTTACAGAATAATATTTTTAAAGTGAAGAAATAAAGCCACTATACTTATTGAACAGAGTAATTCTTTAGATTCATATAGACTATTTTTACAATTGATTTTTATTGCTTTTAAGCCACATGGTGTTCATTGGGATCTTGGGTCTTACTGCTCCTAAATGTTTTTCCATCTAAGATATAAAAAATAATAATAGGGGAAAAGAGGAATATCATACTCACATGTATCAAGTTGAGATCCTAAAGTGAAAACATCTTTTCTTGTGTACTCCAGATTCTGGTAAAGCAAAGAAAAGATCATTATTTTCATCTATGAAATATCTAATTGTTTCAACAGTGGGAGAAAGAAATGGAATAATACTCAACTGAAGAGGTGAAAAACCAATTATATCCAGCAAAAAGTTGAACATAAAAATAAATGCATTAGACAATAGAAAATGAGACTATAAATTTAAAACTTTCTTGACATTTAAAAATACAAATAAAATTGATAAATATAGATAAAAGACATTAATTTTCAGATATTTAAAATAACATTCATAATTCATAAAATATTTTCAAGAACTAGATAAGCAGTTTTCAAAACTAATCGTTTTTCAATCACCTAAAAGAAAAAAAGCATACATTAAAGACTTCAGATAAAACATGTATCTTTAAAAAAAACAGACCTTTTAAAAAACTGCATTTGATTTTTTTGGTAGTAGTGGACATTTTAAGTGAAAACACAGTGATGTAAGAAGCAAGAGATAAAGAATACATTCCAGCACATAAGCTCTGGGACTGCCTGGAAAATATTTTCAGCAACTACAACTATTACAGTTTTGAGCAAATCAAAATGATTACTTACATACTATTATAACAATAAGGGAAATTAAAAATCACTCTCAAAGTTATCTAAAAGTTCTTTATTAAATAAATCATGAAAAATACAAATTAAAAGCAGTGAAATATTTTAACTCACCATTTTACAAAGATTTCTGACAATTTTGCATTTCGGTGCTGGTGAATGTGTGTTGCTATAAAATATTCTGAAGGCTGAACTTACATGACGAGGTTTTCACATCAGATATGTTCTCTGGTCCAGTATTCCTCATTCTGGAAAATCTATTCTATATAAAATAGGCATATTATAAAGACAAGTATATTTTAGCATATGCATTCATGATAGGAAGTAATAATAATTCAAATACCTATTTAATAAAAACTGTTAAGTGAATTATATAGTTGTGCAATGTCAAGTAAGGATACAAGTTTTTGCAAGAAAAACTAATGAGATAAAAAGAATCTTTCGATATGAGTGGAAATACAAAACATAGAAAACACAAATTAACTTATAGAAAATTATCTAAATTGTCCAACATGCTACATATCCATAGTAAGTAGCTAAGAAAAGAACATGAAAGACCAGCAAGCTCGTATTGTTGTCAGATCTGGATCTACCAAATCCAGAGCCTGAGTATACTGCTCAAAATTCATAAGCATCTGTGAAAGTAGAAACAAAATATGTCTTACACACTTATAATCCAAAGACTCTAGTATGTTCTTGAGAAATGAGGGAAGAAGGAAGACAAAGAGAAGTGGGTATGGTGGGGTGAAAATGATCAAATATGCTATGTATTTATATGAATATGCCAAAATGAAATCCATTATTCTGCATAATTAATATGCACTAGATTGTTTCTACCTCTTTGAATGTGTTTGAGTCCCTCCACAGCAAATCTTATTTTAGAGACCAGGTCACATGGAACCAGTTCTCTGACCATCAATAGCTGCTGCTTTACATGAGCAGCATGTATTTATATTTATTAGCCTCATTAAGTGATTTGAATGTGATTATGAACAGAGACTACCTAAAATAAGGTGAGTTTATGGACTGGTTTTATTTTGCCTTATAGGTCACACAGTTCTGTAAGTGTAGGTACCAGCATTCTGGTTCAGAAAATGGATTTTTAAAAGGCAATCTCAGTGCATTAGGCTTCAAAACACATCCTTAGAGAAAAAAATACACTATTAATTGGAGAACATCTCTCCTTAGGCATTTTGCTACGCTTTTGCTGATGAAGTGACCAGGAAAGTATATTATAAAAAACATTCTTTTTTTAATAAAAGATTCTTATCTGAGATCTAAGCAGAGTCAAAAACCTGCCAAATGGTAAACTATGTAAAAGCAGAAGGATTAAGAGCTAGGAACTCCATGAAATCTGTAACAAATGAAAATTACCTTGAAATATCAGGTCCTTGAATTCAGCTATTTAAAATCCCTTTCTAGGTAGATGTGCTCAGCCTAAAGTAACTCATTCATGTCTAGAAGTCTGAATGCAAATTGTATGGAAGCACCCAGGAGCAACAGCAACCTGAGGCTGGTTATATTGGTGGTCAGAAGTCCTGAGTCTGTCCTTAGAAACATTCATATATGTGGTTTCAGGAAAATCTTTAGTGGAGGTTATGCAAATGAAGAGTTGGGCATGCTCTGAATTCTCACTTCCCAGAGGATTGTAATTAGCAGCTCTTGCCAAGATGGCAACCAAATCACTTTTGCCTGTTTTCTCTCTTGGGAACAAACTATCAGCTATATTTAGGCTTTCCTCATGTATTTCTTCCTGGCCAACTTATCTTTGATTGACAACTTTTATTCATCTCTCAGTTCTGATTTCCTGTATAAGGACATAGCCATCTCTTCTGAGAATCCATGGCTCAACTCATTGGAGCTCCTTTTTGGGAAGTGTTGAAATCACTCTGATCACCTTCATGACTCATGACTGGTAGGGGACCATCTGCAAGCCCCTGTGTTATATTACAACACTGACTATGAAACTATACTACCACCATGACTAGGAAACTCTGTGGAGTTTTTGTGGCTTGGCTGGGGTCTTCTTGCATTAATGAGTTCAGTTCCTTCTGGTCTTTTGGTCGCCCTTCTATGGACACAGTGTGACTGACCACTTTGTAACTTGTTCCCTCTGCTGGAGCTCATCTGCACAGACACCTACATCACTGGTCTGCTGGTGGTGGCCTACAATGGTGTGATCTGCCTGCTGAACTTCCTCATGGTGGCTGCCTCCTACATTATCATCCTGTGCTCCTTGGTGGCCCACAGTGTGAAGGGGAGATGCAAAGCTCCCTCTAACCCTTCACAGTGGTTGCCTTGTTCTTTGTGTTCTGTATAATTAGTTATATGCATCCATAGTCTACACTTTATGGCATTCTGACACTTATGCAGAATCCACTCATTTACAGCCTGAGGAATGAAGAGGTAACAAATGCCACGAGAAAGTTCTTTACATGATAGAAATTTTAGGTGGATAATGAGTTCCAAAACAAAGGGGAAAAAAGAAAATTTATTTCTACCAGTGAAACAACCAAAGGTTTTTTTGGTACTACCATATAAGAATCATATTATCCATCTTTTCGTCTTCATCATCTTTACTGGTTATTGACTTGCATAATTTTTGTATAACATAAGGATATATCTGTCTCCTGAATTATTATAATTATTATTCTTGTTATTTAGATTTTAAGTAATAGGAAACTATGTTGTATGATGCAGTTAACTGATTAATCAAGGTTATTTAACTTTGAAACTCAAAGTCAATTACTACTGATCCATCATCCTCATCTAAAGTTAGCAAGCTACATCAACACCACATAAGTCTTTGTGAGCACTAATTATGCTGTAGAAACACGAGGCAAGCCCAGCTCAGTGCCCTCACACACAGCCTGTATAGCAGGCTCCTATCCCTGCTCTGTGATATCAGCAGCATAGCAGCTGCAGCAGGCCAGTGAGGACCTAGGCCAGGAGATGGATGAACTTGAGTCTGAATCTCATTGTCATTGCTTGCTAATGACCTTGACTAAGTGACCCAAAGCCTCTATGAACTTTTGGTGCTGAGATACTAATGGGGTAGACATTTTAGATTCCACATATAAGTGACATAGTACAGTTTTTGTATTCATGTGCCTGGTTTAGTTTTTCCAAGCATAATGTCTTCTAGGTCTTTTATTATGTGTCAACTGACAGAATCTCCTCCTTTTAAAAGGCATTAACTATGCTTCCCAGTAAAGATAAGAAAAAAAAAACTTTGTAAAGATACTCTGTGTTTTAAATTGTTATTGTGAGAATTAAATGAGGTGATCTATACAAAGTTTTTAATACAATTTCTGACAAT